AGACACGCAGAGACAGAGAGAGAGAGAGAGAGAGAGAGAGAGACAGACAGACCGACCGACCCACAGACAAGACGAGACGAGACGAGACCAGACAAGACAAGCCAAGCCAAGACAAGACAAGGCAAGATGAGATCAGATAAGATAGACAAGATAAGACAGACAGACGGACAGACAGACAGACAGACAGACAGACAGACAGACAGACACAGAGCGACAGATGTTTTGGTATCCCCAACGCCCAGTGGAGCCTCCAGGAAGACGGGCGTGCAAAACTGTGAAAACATGCGGCGAAGCCATGACTTCTGCCCTTTCGAGGCCGAATCCTTCAAGGTGTTCTCGACCTGCCACAGGCTTTACCCTTACCCTCCAAGGACTCATAGTTTAAGGCTTTTGGGCCCAAAGGTTTAGGGTAAACCCCGAAAAGTTGGAAACCGGATCAAGGTCAAATCGTGCTGGGATTCTCTATACATTGCTCTTAAGGATTGAGGCTACTGGGTTTTTAGCTTTTCGGCTTCTACTGTAGGGTTTGGGATGGTTTGGGATTTAGGGGCTCAGGGTTCACGGTTTAGGGCGTGAGGTGTAGGGCTTTTGGGTCTGGGGGTTTTGAGAAGAGTTCTAGAGGGCTTCCATAGGGGTCGGCTTCTACGGAAGGGGGTTCTATTAGGGCTCTGCCAGGGGTTCCAACAGGTTCTATAAAGCTTCCATTAAGGAGGCATTTGGGCCCTAAGCCCTATAAACCCTACACCCAAAACCGCTTTAGGCTTCTGCTTAAATCTTTTCAGGCTTCTATAGGGGTTTCGTTTCAGGGTTCTAGTTGGGTTCCTAAAGCCCGAACTCCAAACCCTAAACCCTCTCGGAGTATGGCTGCTGAAGCGACAACTACTGTAGCCATGACTGGCATGGCCGGCCATGACTCCAACTGTCGTACTGTTCACATGTGCGTGTTGCTTTAGTCGCCTTCGCTACGGTCATTGTTAATGGCTTGAGCGATCTTGCTCTTCCCATCGTCACTGGTGGGCCAATAGTAGGATCCCTAATATAAGGACCCCAGAAGAAGGTACCCTTTATTTTCGGAAACTCCTACCATTACGCTTGTATGATGGTATTGCCTGTTTTGGTATGGCGATGGTCAACTTGAGGCTTCCGCAATATAGGGACCTCAAACATTTCAATACAGGGTTTTGGGGCACACTATACTACAATGATAATAAGGAACTTCCAAAATTGAATCGGTAATGATTTAGGCCCATACATTAGGGTTTACCCATCGTGTTTTCGGCTGATGCTTATTCTGATTCCTGTTGCGGGCCACGGTACGGACTGGCCCGGTTTAGGCCGCCGAGACGCCCTCTCGCTTCTTCTTGCTTACGGTAGGGGCATTAGCAATTAGAAGAGGGTTTTGAGGTATACTCTACTATATTTATAGTAAGGAACCCCACAAAATACCATTGGTAGTTACTTAGGCTTCTACGTTATGCTCCTGTTCCCCTCACACTCGCTCTCTGTCTCCTGCTCTGTCGCTGACTCTCTGCCTTCCATTGACACAACTGAACTTTCTATACTATCTTCCCTAAGCTCTTCACCCTGAGATCGCAGATTTTTGGGGGTGCTCTGAACACGGGAGCCGGGACGGTGATCCGGCCTCTTCAAACTCTTCATCCTGAGATGGTATGGTCTGGGGTTCAGCGCTTCAGTTCCACGCTTTAATTAGGGTTGGCAGACGACAGGGGAGCAAGATAAGCCAGGTGTATTGGTGGCAAGCCCACCCAGTACAGAAGACGGATGTCCTTGTCGTCTTCACCGCGCATGCCGACCCACATCAAGCGAAGACCGAAGAAGGTGTACAAGACTGGCAAGTCGGGTGCAGGTTCATGGCGTTTTCGTTCCGCTTGCAGCATCTTACACCTTGCAAAGGTTCTATCGCAGTCTTTGGCTCAATATAGTCGGGCAGGCCGGTTGCGCATTGAGTCACCCTCTCCTGGGAGATAAGATTCGGTAGCACGACACCTTGGCCAACTTGGTGCAAAGTCACCGCTCGACAACCTAAACCAACACAAACCTTAAACCATAAATCTCGAAGTCTAAACGCTTCCTCCAGGGCACCCAAGAATGCAGACAGGACGGTCATCAAGTAGAGTGCTCCAAGCGCTCCACAAAGGACCTGGAAACCCACGTTGCAAACAGAAGGATAGTTTCCTGTTGAGGGTCAATGTTGGGGTTTTTGGGGTATGGGAAAACGAAAGCCGTAAAACCTAAACCCTAAACCGTAAGCGCTGCATGACAAGGAGCCGTGAATTTGGGGTGTCTCATGGACATGACGGCCGCGATGATGAAGGTCTCGTCTCCAAGCTCGGTCGCCAGAATCCTTACAGTCATTGAGCGGTTTAGGGTTTAGGGTTTACACAGACATCTCGGATACACTGATGTTCCTGGGTGGTGTTCTAAGTTAGGGTCCTTTATTTATCGTCCCCCCAAATAGTACGGTAACCTTCTAAAGAGGAGCCGAATTTAGAGAACTACCCTGCTGCAAGACCAAAGCCGAGGCCGGGGCATGAAGAAAGACGATGTGAGCCCTTCCCATGGGTTCTTGGTCAGGTGCCAGTCAAAAGACCAAGCCTCAGATACCGGTCCAGCATACAGTGCTGAAGGCTGTGCAACATGGCATCTGAGTCTGAGAGTCCAGGCATTTGCGGCTGCCACCTGAAGAGACAATTTAGGGTTTAGGGTTTAGGGTTTAGGGATTTAAGTACCATCGACCAGCACATTTGGTGTTGTGGCCCTGGCATGGAAGCAACATCGACCGCCGTATGTCGGCCAAGTCGCATCACTTGCCAAGCTTTCGACGGCAATATGATCAACGCTAAAACCACTGCTGTTGCTCACTGCCAGGAAATCCGTCGGTGCCATTGCAGACCGCTCTGCCTGCAGCTGTGGTCAGGGCGAACATCTCTACCTATCTCCCTTGCTCTTTCCCTCGTTATAAATCCCCGTCTCTGTGTCTCCCTCTGTCCCTATCAACGACAGATGATACGTCATGATAAAATGCAGCCACATAAGGCGGGACAACCTAGAAACAACATACTATACGGCAAAAGCTCGCAAGCAGGCAAGACGTCATCTCGCTCACTGAGGTGCATCCATTGTGAAAACCTCGGCTAGACCCTCTCGTGCCAGGTAAGCACCCCGCGTTTCGCGTGAAGGGAAGGAACGTCCAACTAGCTACTTCACTGGAAGCCCTTAAAGCATCACAACTCGAGCTCTTGAGCCACAAAGCGAGGAACAGCGGAGATCAGCTCGGAGCATTTGGGCACCCAAGGCCAGCGCCTGATATCATATCATATTATTCTAGGTTACATCATACTACATTATATTAAGTATTTTACATTACATTGTATAACGTATTACAATGCGTTACACAAAGTATCAGATATTACATCATACTACTGTGTGTACATATATATATATATGTATATATATATATATATATATTTGTTATACCATAATGCCTAAAAAGTCTCAGATTTATTCAATGACATTAAAATGTATTATTATATGTTGTATGATAACTAATCATATCAAACTTCTAGTATCTTATATTATACTTCCAGCAAGGCTCAGCAAGAGAGTTTTGAACAGGGCGATTGCGCGGACTTCGACCGATTCTCGAGCTCGTTTGGCGTCGCCCGGAAGCCGCACTGCCTGAGCAAAGTTGCTGCTTCTGGGCTGTGAAGCGCGAAGGTCCGTCATCATCATCACCCTAGTTCCCGTTGCTAATATCCCGTATTCGGCTCTAGCCGCTAGCACTATTAGGATTTCGGGCCAAAGAGACTGAGCGTGTCTCAAGAAACATCATGCCAAGATGCGGAATGAAGGACATAGCGTGCTGCCGCCTTTGGGTCTGAGTCGAAGCATTTGAAGATCAGGAGCTCAGTGTCGCCTGTGCTTCAAGAGCTCGTGCTCGGCTCTTCACTCAAGGCTCTCGCTAGAAGGATGCTGAATTCGACTCAGGTGAGGGCACAACTCGGGGAAGTAGAACCAACGGTGGTGGTGACTCACCTATCAAGCTGAAGGATCGAGGTCGCAATGCACAGAAAAACGGTCAAACATTTCTCTCACCGGGAAGAGAAGGAGTGAAAGAGCCAACCGACCTCATACCGCGCCGTCGGTCCAGCGACAAGCTCCGCAAAGTTCTCGGATGTCAGTTCTTTCTTCGCCCTGCCAGCTTTGGCCGATGCATGTCAGACAACTATCCACAGGGTCTGATAATGCCACATATGGGTTCCCGAAAATAGGGGACCCTAATATAGTACCCTGAATGGTAGGATCCCTATTATAAGGACCCCAAAATAAGGTACCCCTAATAATCGGAAACCTCCACTTGGTCCCCAATATAATACGGCACCCTTATAAAAAGGTCCCCAAAAAGGGACCCTAATTTAGAACTACCCTATACCCTAAAACCCTAAAACCCTAAGACCCTAAAACCCTAAAACCCTAAAACCCTAAACCCTAAACCCTAAACCCTAAACCCTATTATAAGGACCCCAAAATAAGGTACCCCTTATTTTCGGAAACTCCCACATGACCACCTCCACAACTGTCGCCATGGTATTCTTCCTAGCACTAAGCCACTAGGACTGGGACTCGCTGCAGCAACA